AGTAACCTATAGTTTCTCAATCTCGAGGATACTGGCTTCCAAGCCAATATTTCAAGGATGCTACGTCATCGAGTGCCGCCGAAGGACTGTTCCAATCTTCAGCATTCCACCGAGGCCGCGTCCTTGGTTTGGGGGAAATTTCGAGGCTGCACATGGGTAGACTTCGCATCCTTAAAATCCCCACAATGCTTTGCGCACGGACCAATTTCAAAAACCCTTGCGGAGAATTGCTGAACCGACGCAGAACACATTTAAATGTAAGTATGTAGTGGCGTAGAACATGTACATATGTTACTTTGTTACATTTGTTATCACCAACAATGTGTTCCGTGAAAGTAAAGCAAGTTTATAATTAGATAGACATCGTGAGGTATTTATTTTCGGTACAGTTTATGTTGAAACCGTTAGATAGAGTGGCACACTTGTTAGCCTGTTCCATTCTTCTTCGTTTTCCGAAGCCGTGGCTTGGAAACATACTTGCTTCATTTCTGAAGGAAGTGACTTGGAAGTACGCTACTACCAAGCCAGCATCCTCGCGATTGAGAAACGGCCATTAAGTTGACGAAACACTCGAGTCAAATGTAATTAAAGTCAGATCGTGTCTTAGACTGGGCAGTGATATCATAAACCTGTTAATGTACGCATTCAAACACTTTAACTTTTACCAGCTGTATTCACCTTGCAGGTGCAGCTATGTGGCTTTTATCCTGGATAAAGTGTTTAAGTCATGGAAGTACGCCGGGCTCGGTAGAATTCCAAGTATGCTGGACATTGGAACAGTACTTCGGCAGCACTCGATGACGTAGTATGCTTGAAATAGTGGCTCTGGAGCAGCTTTACTCGAGATTGAGAAACACCCCGGAGTTTGCTGCATGAGTTGCACTGTATGATCTGTGCGGTGTAGTGGGCTGTCACTAAAAAACTGAGTAGCCAATGGGGACGCACCCCTGAAAGTCCCGCCCACCTGGGACAGTTTATATCAGAATAAAAAACTAAAAATGAGGGTGTGCAAACGAGAAGAGCTGCAGCGAGAGCAACAGTCTGATCATTGAGAAAGAAGCAAAGAGAACTGCAAACAAAATATATGTTAAAACAAAGACAAAATACTTATAGTTTACATGATTACACAAATGATTTGTTTTCAACTTGTAGTTTTATTATTGAAATTAAATGTTCTCTTAAACTCTTAGTTTTGCTTGATTCTGAGAAAGTGTTGCTTTATCTTTATGAAACAAAACTAATTAATCTCATATCCTTCCTGTCACGCTCCATGTATGTTCCTGAAGTTTGTTGTCCTGGGGTCCTTCTCACTTCGGTTAAATGGATTCCTTGCGTCCCTCACTTGCGTCGTTTCCCTGCGACTAGTCCCTCCCACCAGGGAAGCATGTAGGGACGCAAGGGAACCACGAGAAGCAGGGAAATGAGTTTTAAGAGCAATGGGACGTCCTTTCCTCCGGAGCGTCACGTGAACCGACGTCCATTTGTGATGCCGCTGCACAGCTGATCGTCTGACAGCAGCCCCGTTGTGTTCACAAACACCCCCGCCTCTGTTAGCACACATTTACTGACACAAACATTTGTATCATCTGTTGTAGACCCCAATAAATAAAATAAAATAAGAACTCATTCTCAAAAAAGATAAATGCCATTCTTAAAATGTATAAACGAACAATAGTTTGATTAATATTAATTAGTGCACAAAATAAATAAAATAATTCAGAGAAGAAAAAGAGATAGGCCTATGTTATCTATCAAAACCCAGTTAGATTAACATTCATTGGATTGCACACTTTGTTTGTTTGTGTGGATATGTAGCACAACATTTGTATAGCACTTAATGACTGACTGAATGGAAATGACAATAAATGAAAATGCAAAACGAAAAATGCGATCATGAAAATGTTTCCAAAAAATGAATAAAATGATTTTTGTCCACTTTGTTGTTCAGATATATCACATATTTTTAACTAAATGAAACATTAATTGAAACAAAACACGGTATAAACTGAGGAGTGACTCTCGTGAGTTTAATGTGTTTTCTTCACTCCGCTGGGAAACTGCTCTCATGTCAAGAAGCATGAGATCAGTGCATGTCCTGCATCGTCCAATCAGTGAGCGATACACAGTAAGGGGGCGGGGCGAGTGTCTGAGGATTTCATCGAAGGATGGTCTGGTGGTTCCTCGGTTATCGCTCCTCCATTATCGGTCCTCTGGCAGAAATAAGGCCATTGGGACGCTACTCAAGATGGCGCAGACAAATCAACTTCCGGTGAGACCGAGGAGCGAGGAAATGAAAAATAAGAGAAGTGAGAAGGGCCCCTGGTCCTTCCTCGTGCTCCCTGGTTTCCTCCCTCGTACCCCCTGGTTTTGGTCATGTTAAGTTGTTCCTTGTTTTCTTTTGTCATCGGCTTTGGGAAATAAAGCTCGCTTTTTGTTACTTCACCTTTTTTTGTCCTTTTGCTGCATTTGGGTCCTATTTCCCCCCAACCCAGATAGATACAGAGTTACAATTAACCCCTGGAGCGATGTTTTCCACTTCTTTTTAAATACATCTTGATCTAAATGATTCTTGCAGTAGCAGCACCATCAACTACTTAATCGTCTTACCTGTAAAATGTTAACTTCAATTCCTGCGTTTTATTAATCACTTCCTGGAGTTTTACAATCCTCTGAAACAATTTTAATGGTCGGATAAACTGGAGTCCTTTAATGTTGCGGATCTGTTCACATGCCTTTTGCAGGCGGGGTCTCGTTCTTTATGAGAGCTGCTCATTGGCGCATGAAGACAAAATTGCCCAACTTTTGAGAGAAACAACAACGTAGTGCATTATTTTATGTTTTGGTTCATATGTTACTTTTGAGAGAGCGAAACGTCACAGATTACCCGTCATGCCTGGCTGTCGGAGCAGAAGAACCCGTATGTGCGCTCTGTTGCTCAAAGACAGGATTTAAGTTTAGTTGTATTGAGAGTAGCCTACCAGGCTTACATTTCCAGCATTGCTCGAATATAAATACAACAAAAGCCAACAAACAGACTAAAAAACACAAACAAAAAGGACCAGGCTGAATTATAGTAAACGCATAGAAAAAAGACCCATAATCTTCACATCACATCAAATGAAGATGATTGCATTTTATTGTGTTGTAATGTGACACTCGCCTACATTTAATTTTTAGTGAAGGGTACAACCGGATGTCGCATACAAACTAATAGAAATGTCTTTATGGAATTGTTATTCTCAAATATGCTCAATGGCAAACATGAAGTCCTATATTTATTTTAAGTTAACCCACCGGTTTGTTTGTAATGTATTAGGTCACGTATCGTATGTCTATAGCTTTATTATCTTAAAAAAAACAAATCACTATAACTCATTGTTGCTGACATGTTTAAATCCTAAAGATTAGTATCCAAGGGGACTTGTTTCCTGCTCAAATACTGCCATCGTGTGGTGTACTGTGGCATGCACTCTACTAGTTTAAACAACAAACCACTTAAATGGGCCAGTGCAAAACACCAATTAAATGATCAGTAAGAGAATATTTAATGAATCTATAGACTTTGAGTCACACTTGTTTAACTTACTACAAGCAATAAGGTTGAATCCTTAGTTCATAGCTTTGTCTGAACTTTTGGAGATATCAGTTTATCTGATTGTGTTGAAACGGTATGGGGAGGGGTCCATTTTAATTTGTTACCTTTCATTGGTACTTATTAATAATGCATTGTCTGTTATTGTCGTTCATTATGATGATATTTATGTTGACACAAAATCACACACACAGTATAATCCCCACCTCAATGACTCTAGAAGATACTTGTGATTTGATTAACTTTGAAAGCTAAAGAGTACTTTCTTAATCCCTTGAGGGGAAATGTATTACTTTCTCTTAGGGATAATCAATGTTTACTTTATATAATTTAACATTTTTATCACATCATAGGCTCAAAATACACACATTCACATTAATTGTATAAGACATACCTTGCTCAAGGACACCTCAACATTGCCCAGGCTGGAACTGGTCAAATGTATAAATGGGCATGTATGTTGTTTTAAGACTCAACATTTTATTTTTTTAATGTGACCCTATCTTTTAAGACTTGGTTGTAGGGTTAAGGTTGAGTTTATGGTATTTACTTGTGTTTCTTCAGTCCTGTGTCCAGTCCAACAGTGACCTCTGTTGTCAAATGACTAAATCAACTACACACATCAACTGCTGAATTTACTGTGTTGTTTGACCAGGCTGGTCACTGAGAGACATGTCTGATAAGAGTTCATTTTATGCTGAGGGTTAGGTATTATGCTATCATAGATTGATATTTGAAGTTGTATGTCAATCCTGTTATGACTGTAGAATGAATCTGTATAATTTTTGTACACCTAACAATCCTGTAGGTACATTTTACAGTATATGTTTTACAAATGGTAAATATATATTTTATATAGTGTTGCTTTTCTGTGTTAAGTTTGTTTTTAAACTCAGGGAGGGGTTCCCTTGCTTGAAAGATTTGTTTGTTTGTTTTTTTTGTACCACAATCACTTGGCAGTCTTCCAGTCTTCCTTTTCCAGAGGCACAGCAGGAAAACGGGGAGAAAAAGTGGGATCAAGGTCTCTTCAGGCTCGTATCAGAGCACAACAGTGACCAGAAGCTCAAGTCCCTGTATCTCAAAGTTTGGACTGCGCGCCATCGAGACTCAGAGCTGCTGATACCCAAAGTGCATCTTAAAGGTCAACAACACCTGAGAAAATAATTCCAATATGTTGTTTCCATTGCCTGGGAAAGATCAATCAAGTCTCAAACTGTTGCCATCATCAAGTATAACATCTGGACAGGCTTAATAGACTACAAGTGAGAGACTGATTTTCTTTACCCATAGTGTACCCAAATTAGCTTTATATTATTGTAATGTTGTCATTTGTGCAACAGAAAATGTGCTCATACACTTAAACCATTCCCTTGGGCACTTCCAGTGTCAATCAAGTCATTGTCAATGGCGCAGTTTCAGACTTTATACATTTAAGTTTTACAACTCATGTTCTTTTGGATTTGGAAGAAAGTTGTTCATGATTACCAACATGTTTTTACTATCTTAGATGATAGGAATGACGTGCATACATGTACCCCAGTGATGCTTATTCATACAGCATGCAGCCAAGGTTACATACAGCTTTAGCAGAGAGGTTACAGCATTCATTCAACAGGCTGGAGCAAACAATGACTAATAGTGATGTAGTCGACCGCAGCTACATGAAAACATATTTTGAATGTCTCACCCTGAACTACAAGTAACCTTGCCAACTGTCTGCAGGCTGACAGACACTGAACTACAGGAGGCAGTGAGCTGTAAGGTCAGGTGACGCGTCAACTGCAGCTTAAACAAATGACTCCATGATCCTAATTAAAGTGACCTGACAGCAAGATTGTACGGTAGGTGAATCTTCTGTAGCCACACTGCACTCGCTGCTGTTTAAGCTACACAATAACAGTTTTAAACAGTCTACATGAAGCGACCTCTTTCTCAACTGTGTTTTATCCTCGGTTGAAAACAACTGACTCATTTGTGGTATTGGTGGAGCCTAACACCGCACTTTCTATGACTTCATATTTATTTGGAACACATTGAGTTGAAAGATTGTTTCCTAAACTTAGGGTGAGACCCTCACATAGTACAAGCAGGGTTTGGTACCAAAATAGGAGAGCAAACACGCCTAGCTGCTTACATTTTGTTATTTCCTCAGTAACAACAAACTCACATCAGTTTGTTTTTGTGTCGTGCCAGAGTTAAGAAGTATTCATTATCTGAGAAAGGAAATCAGATTTGACTGTCCAAGTAAATGTGTGATCTGGGTGTTGATCTTAGATGTTAGATGCTGTAGATTTTCTTTTTCAGATAAAAATAATTTATTTTCGAAAACAGCAAGATCAAAACACTTTAAAGCTTTTGAAGTACAATTATTGTTATCTGAAATAAAATCTACAATAATGCAGGATCTCCACCCATGTTGTCGTGCAGTAATGTTGTTGTGCAGTAATGGCCAAAGAGATAAGTAGTTTTGTTGTGAATAATTATTCTTGTATCAACAAGATGCCGTCATGAGCAGGGTTGAGACTTTGAATCCCGGAATAAAACAGATTAAGATAAAGATCATTACTTCTTGTCTGTACTCTGCTCAAGCTGCAAGTGATTTACTGAGTCTGATAAACGCATGACCTACTGAGGACTAAATCAACTCCTTTCCCGAAACCACTTACAGGTGTAGAGGAATAACAAGACTTCCTTTAGTTTCTTTACGTAGACTTCCCAAGAAATCATCATACACAAATATATAATCTTTGAATTGATAAGGACACTCATGCTAGCACATTGTACCAAAATACAATATAATAAAGATATTTATTTTTTAAACATCTAAAGAATAGTTTGTAGTTTAAATTAAGACAATGTAACTTTTGGAAAAGCAGGTATTTCTCTACAATAAAACATACCACTGCTTAATTTAATCTAATTAGGATTTGCTGCTGGAGCCTTACTAGGTCTTGATGAGCTTTTGGATGCTAGTGTTTGCTAACTTTAGCCATATTGCAGTAATGGACATACGAAGCTGGTTCTCATACTTGTATCTATTTTCTCGTAATACAGTATCACTTGTGGCAACAGTGGCTACTGTGCGACAACATTTACATAGTCTTACTTTAATATCTTACTTTATTTGTCTATTGTTTTAACTTGCACTTGTGTTATGGTGTGTGAGCTTTGCCGTGTGTATTTTTTGTATGTTTTGTTTTGTTTGTTTGACTGTACAGCACTTTGGTCTGGAGGTTTTAAAGTGCTTTATACATAAAGCTGTATTGTATAATATCAATAACTTACTGGAAAAATAGCTTATATATGAAACTCCAATACCAGATGTATAGATGTCGCAAAACTATTATAATATGGAAGTAAAATAAATAAATGCTATCCCCGAAGCTAATATTAATGTGTTTTATGTCAATGCACATTTTAACTTAATGAATTTTCTCCAAAATAGATTGGTTATAAATATGAATAAAGTAAACAATGTGCCTGTTGTTTTTGGAGTCAGATATTGTCTCCTCTGCAGCAAAGCATTTTAATTACACATTCTCCAAACGCCTCTCTGACCACTGACTGTTTCGACAGAGGGAGAGTTGAACAGCAGGTCCCCAGCTGCCTCCACCCTTCCTTGAACACAAATAATCTGTCAACAGGATTGTCACAGGAACTTAAAAAAAAAGTCTGACCTCTAATAGATATGGCCTCAACATGTGCACACTCTTCTGCCCCACAATACATACTCACTGTGTGCTGTACTGTCCGTGCACACGCATTGGAGCCCAGGATGATTTTAAAGGCTTCGGCTTGGACTGAGCTTTTGTTGAAAGGAATTCACTTCTAACATCTTCCCTGTTCCCCTAGCTTTAAAGAAAGATTATTACTTACTCAATGATATTGCAGTAATGTAGGTGGACACTGAGGTTATTGACGGATATTGAGATGATCCAAACACACACTATTATTGACCTTCAGTATTATTTAAGCTGGGCCCTGCTGCTGACTGGTGGTGCTGCTCTTTTGCTCCATCGTACACAGCAGGTGTGTTCCTGTTTCGATTGTTGAGTTGCAAGCTTCATGGAAGTGAGTTAGCCTTAATGCTGCTAACATCCTGGACAAGGACAAAGGGGCTGAGGATGTCGATGCTTAGTTTGAAAAAACAGGAGGTTTGGCCCAACACAAAAGCATTACAAAAAGAAAGGAATGCTTAGTTTAAAATAGTCAATTGTGCAAAACCTATCTGAAAATCCCAGACACTGTTACAGCCAGTGTGAGGGTGATCCATGTTATCTGCGGCACAACAGCTGATGCAGATATTCTTAAATTACCATTGCTTCCATCAGTGTTTCTATTTGTATCCTGGATCGTTTGCTGTTTAAGCTGATATGTTTTCACCACTTTGGTGTAGTCTCTCTCCTTGGAAACACACTCATAGCCACCATAGTTCTCTTGCGTCATGGCGGGGATCAGGTGCAGGCAGTTGGACTGCATTTGTAGACATGGGCTGCTCTGGCCTGCGTGCTCCCAGGTGTACACAGCGTGGTAGGAGTCTATAGGACAAGACAAATAGAAGGGGACACTCAGGGGGACCGAGTGGGCTATCCCCAAATCCACCGTAGATGATGAATCTGTCTCCCGTTTGGTCCGGTTAACTTGCTTTTGCTCTACAAAAAATAAAAAAGAAGATAAAATAAAGATGAGACCAAAGGTTGCTGGGACCCCAGCAGGTGTGCACTATTAATAGTCTTATCATAAGTTACCTTCGTCAGATGGTTGACACACACTTCGGTTCCCATCAAGGATATTTTGAATGCCTCCACTGTGAACAAAAACATAATATAATCAAACAGGTGCATTTCTTTGTGAGAGACGAATGACTTTGCCCCAGATATCTGTTTATAATCCTATTTTTATAGTTTTTCTATGTAATCTTATGTTATCTCTTGCAGAAATGCAATATTCAGAAGAACATGCACATGCTGTTCAAACTTACGTGACAGTCGGGGTGCATCCAAACTCTGTCCAGACACAGTAGGGGTCCCGGGCCAGAACACAATCTGCGCAGGACTGGTTGTACTCCTGACACCTCTGAAGGTCAATGATCGAAATGTTCTCTGAGAAACCCACCACTAACTTTTTCTAAGAAAAGGGAGACAGTAACATGATTTTACTTTAAATCTGCATTAATAGTAGTTTTGTGTTCCTTGCAGCAGTGCAAGAAGCTGAACAAAACGTGTTGAGTATCATAAAGGTGTGTTGGCAACAAAGCTTATTTTCTTCCATACAGCGAAATCCAATGGGGAAATCACATTGCATTGGTCAAGGGAGACCTTGCAATGCTTAATTCTGGGTTGGCCTACAAGATACTTCCTCCTTGAGCTTTATTATCACCATATAAATAGAATTTGTGTGAATGTAAAAAAAGAAATGTCACCCAGTGTCTGCCAAGAAAAACAACTGACGACACCGTGCTGGAAAATGCATGACATTTAAAATACCTTTTTGGAGTCAAGCTTCATTGATTGTACGGTTGAGTGGCTGGAGAGCTGTGTTTCGGAGATGATGAAAGGCTCTTCCCCGGCCTCTAAGACTTTATGGATCTTCCCAGAATCTGTTGGGACAGCACACCAACATTTTCTGGCATATTCTCAGAGGAATGCTGTATTATCAGCACGTTTTGTCTCGCTATGCATGATGACAAGCCAGATCAACAGGAAAACACTCAGACCTGAAGTAGCTACAAAAAAAGACCAAGAAACATCTGGTATTTCTTTCCAACTAGAACATACCAGTAGCTAGAAGCAGAATGTTATGCATGCACCCATCTGCTGCCTGCACTCGGTCCACAGCAATCTTGGTGTAGTTGTTGCTGCTTACATAAAACGGAGCTGTTTGATGTATCGATTCAACCCAGTCATTCATTTCCGGGTAATCCTTCACCATATTGACGGTGGCCAGTGGCAGGTTCCTGCTGTTTTTTACACACTGACAAATAAATGCACAGAGTTTTTTTTTATAGATTGTATACTTTAGAAAATGGGAACATAAACCGGATGTTTGTAGGAAACTCAGGTTAAGCAAATATTTAGGTTTACAAAGCTGAAGGCATCCCCAGTTGTTTATAAATGGACAAATCATTTTTGAACTATAGGCTGAACAGATGGAAGGAACAGGGTTTTCTTTACAAAACATAGCAACAAGTGCTCCTCCTTCAGGGAACCACTATGCATGAGTCAGAAGTAGAGTTGGGCTCAAATAGATTACATTTGATCAACAGATGGAAACACTGAACCACATTTGAGAACGAGAAGTAATAAAAATACACATTTTCCACATTCAAACCCACATTTTAGACTTTGTTAGAAACATGTTATTCTGTCTCTGCACAGCAACATGGCAACAAAACAAATGCTTACCGTTCCTGGCCTTGGCTTGGGAATGTCTTTGTTGTAGCCCTTGAAAGTTGAGTTCTCAAATACGTCTTCAATCTTTCCTATTGTATATATGCACACCGCTGTGACGTTCCTTAAAGAGAAATAAGATAACTGAAGTTAGCATTAAAAGATACAGATTTTATATGGTGGTGGTTAGGGTTATGATTGTGACCCATTGCCTCATTCTGTTTTTCTGTTAGCAGAAAATCTTAAACAGAAATGTGTGGATTTTTGACAAAAAAAAGTTTTGGCATAGGGCAACGGAGATTTGAGTAACTTTTAAAAGTTTGGACAGATAGGGTGCAGCACTAAGAACATTGAACATTAATGCAACCATGTCAATCCAACTTCGTGTATCCTACAAACCCTCCATAACACTAACAAAAACGTTGAATTTCAAGTTCAGACATAAAAGCCCTGCCAATTTTACAGATTTGGTGGAGTGGCCTTTGGCTATACACCTTGACTAAAAGGGCCAAGGGCTTTTTGTGTTCCCCAATCTTAAAGAAGAGTGCTAATTCTCTGTCATCTCCTTATGTAGGACTTAAAGTATAGTTGGTAATGAAATGAGCTCTCATTGAATGTGTGGGTGTAACCTGTCTGGAAAATGGACCATTACACAAGAGGGTCAAAACAATACATGACAACCTCAGGAGCAGATTTGTATTAGGTCTTAGTTATTCTTTTTGTAATTAAACAAGATTGTAATGCAGATATGCCACTCTCCACAGGAGAAGAGTGGTGAAAACATTTCAAAATGCTGACCTTTCAATTTAAAGTGTAAGCTGTTCTGTGTCAGTGTGTTACTAATGGTGTTGCTTAGTTGCTGTTATTAAAAGGAAGGGAAAGTGTCTAACCAGCTGCTTGTAAAAAGGCCATAGACTCTCGTGTCAACCCAGTCCTTGGCGTGCACAACAAAAATATCTTGAAGATGGTTGAAATAAAGCGACTTCTCAGGAAGTCCACAAACAAGCCGGGCCTTGAGAAAAGATGTCCACATGTTCTGGAAAAATCGTTTCGATCCACCTTCATCTACCTGCAGAATAACACAAATGAATTACACCAGGATGACTCTCTTTCACTTTTCATGCAACCGAAATTCATGAACTAAGGGTTATTTGATAGGACTGATGTTACATGGACCTTGACCTGGAAAAAAACACCTAACCGCTTTTGGGGCAGGTTGAGTGTCTCCATAGGTATCAAAAAACAAGGGTGTTGAAAGGTTGTGTTACACCGCATGACAACATGCAAAGCTAGTTGTATTGAGGGAGTAGAAGCCTGATTTATTCATGAAGCCTTAGTTAGCTTCAGATGATTGCACTGTCTGACGCCATAAATATATGTATGCGATTGTCAAATCCTGACAGCCATGACACTGCAGGATATCACTTTACTTTATTTCCATCACCCTTTGTTTTCACACAATGCAGCTAAACAGGATATATATTATCAATGCAGACAGCCTGAGACCTCAATATGTACATGACAATATGACATTCTCCGATCATAAAACCACAATAAATAGTGGCTCACCCACATGGCTCATGGTAAATAGTTAAAGTCAACATCAAACAAAACCTTTCATCTCCTTTGTCTGGTAAATTCAGGAGGGGCCACTGTGGGAGGCACAGCCAACACCCTCACAAAACTTCAACATCAAAATCTGCTGAAGTGGCCAGCAAATGAACTATCTGTTTCATAATTTTAATCAATTAAAGGGTAAAGTAATTTTGTGTTAGTAAGTCATGCTAAATGTACTTTTGTACTGCTTTAAAAACCTAATTAAAGTGTGGTTGATTTGTTTGCAGTCATGTTTAAAGACACAGTTTCAAAATGTATTCTTGCGTTTGGGAACAGCAGTTAACAAAATAATCTCACTTCAATGTCCACTTAGTAGGTATTCTGATACTTTTGATCATATTACATGACCTTCATAAATATTCCCAAGAAGATGGAATAAGGGTTTGGTGGATTGATACAAAAATATTGACAGTGTCCATACTAAATCTTGTTTTGAATATCAATATAAGTATAAATAGAACTTAAGAGGTTTCTGGAAATTGTGTGTTACAGTTGCAGTAAATGAAGAGCCTCACTGACGTATGCTGAGTCCACTTCAGTGCCCAACGTACCTTACAGACTCTGGCAATCCTCGATATCCAGCGGTCAGCCTCCGGGTTGTGATCAGAGTTCTTTTCACGGAAAAATATGTATATTTTCTCATTGTCAGGTTCTTCCCTCTGCTTCACCCACGTCGCAGAGATAAACGTGGGCTCTATGAGAGGAGGACATGTTTACCAAGCTGCTTCCCTGTTTACATTCCCGTTAGCATGTGAAAACAAAATGTAATGAAAGAGCTCTCAGGAGGGGACAAAACAAGCTGACAAACTGGTGCTTATCAGGAGCATACTTTGTAATCAAAATGGAGTCAATATTTCCTGCTGATTTTCATCCAACATTATGAGTTTACTTCAGTCATTTACCCACCTGAGATCCAGTTGTCATACATCCAGACATTAGTTCTGCTACCAGCTTTCCTTCTGAATTGTAATGAACTTCCATCCGTGTCCAAAGGTGCAGCTGAATAAAGATCCCCCTCTGCAAATAGCATCAAATGAAAATCCGCAGAGATGTTTAATTATTGAGTAGGTATATTTCTGTGCACTGGTTACCAACTCTTCTATCACACATGACATAATGTGGTTACATAAGTCTGTAGACCAGAGTCACAATTTTAAACCTTTAAAATCATGGGTTACTGCAGTGGTTCCCAAAGTGGGGGGGTGCACGCAGAGGCATGACAGGGGGGGGGCGCGAGAGACCAGGAGGAAAACCATAAAAATGGTTATATAATTATTTTTTTTTTTAAAATCATAATTTGAAAAATTATTGATTCGAAAATAATATGATACAGTACAGTACTATTACGTCTGGGTCTCTGTGTTTCATTAAAGCTCGGCTCTGTGTGTGTGTGTGTGTGTGTGTGTGTGTGTGTGTGTGTGTGTGTGTGTGTGTGTGTGTGTGTGTGTGTGTGTCAGTGGCGAACCGTCAGGGCCTTCAAGGTATTCAGAGAATACCCTGGAACACTCAGATAAAACAAACAAAAAATCGATATCTGTGTTGTTCACCTGTAATACTACAGTGTTACGTTGACCATGTACTACGCATTTCAGTGGTGTTGTGTTAGAAAAGAAAGCAACCAATCAGATCTTGTTCTGGGTCTCTGGGTAGAATATCCTTCAACTAAGGTATTCTACATCCTTGATCGAATGCCCTGGCCGTTGCACTGAATGAGAGCGTACGTTTGGACTGACAATTTGATCAACCAATCATATATTGATTTGTAGCCAATGGGCGTATTCTTTCAGAGTTTCCCTCGGTTCAAGGGTACTCTAGAAGGCCCGCTGGTTAACTGTCTCGAGACAGAGGATCTGAGAATGCGACGAAGCAATTCATGCCGTTTTATTGTTTTTAACGTTGAAATGACAAGCAACAGGTGAAGATGAATTTGTTGCGGAATTGTTGTGAGTACCCTTTTCAAGACGACAATTCAGTGAAAAGACGGACATTATAATGCCGCGGAGGGCACACACACCTTCTGTGTGTGTCTACAGAAGGTCCAGTTGTGATAGACACGGTTCGCCACTGGTGTGTGTGTGTGTGGAACGAGCCATGTTGTGTGCGAGAGAGAGAGAGAGAGTAGAGAGAGAGAGAGAGAGAGAGAGAGAGAGAGAGAGAGAGAGAGAGAGAGAGAGAGAGAGAGAGCACCGGTACCGGAGATCGTTGTTGTTAGCTTCTGGTGCTAGCGAGCTATGCTAACGGATATAAGGAGCTAAAGGACTCTCTTAGTGTTATGTCAGTGGGTCTCAAACGTTTTGGTCACCATTAATGTAAACAATTATTTCCGAGGCACACGTTTATATAATCATTATAGTTATACAAAAATAAGAGAATAAATGAAAAACAGGTATGAAATACTATATGACAGTAAAAAAAGAATACATTTTAAAAGGCTGATTTGTAAAATATCCATTAAGAAAAAGTAAATCTATTTACAGTTCTGTTTCATATAGGTGTTGAGAGATGTATCCATAGATCTCTTCATTTAGCTCTCAACGTGCACCAGATTGATGCATTTAACTTCAATATTTAAAAATAAATCTTCACGGGGGAGCATGCCCCTGGACCCCCCTAAAATTGTACTTTACCCCTGCTTACACCTATACGCCGCCACTGAGCCTGACTTGTGTTGGGGGGGCCCGACTTTTTTTTTCTCCAAAGGAGGGGCCTGACAGAAAAAGTTTGAGAACCACTGGGTTACTGTATGGTTGTGCAGGAAGTTGTACTTAACATGCCTACAGTGAGCGAAATGGCGTTGTGCGTGTACACAAACGGAGAGATACCCATCCCCTCATAGCTAGCCACTATTTCAAGAGACTGGTTGTTCACTGACGAAAACTGTAGAACAAAAGAAAAAGAATATCAGGATTAGTTTTGCTGGGAAAATATCCAGACACCAGCCATTGAACACCCGACCGAAATTACACACAGGATGCTGATGAAAGTTTAAGCAAAACCACAGCAGCTACATCAAAGAGCTTCATGCTTTATTCATCTCCATATGGTTGCCAGTAAATTACCTAGCCACATGAACGACAGTATGTCAGACACATGTGACATAAAGTATAACATTTTCCGTGATGGACGCAAACACTTACAAGCTTCCAGCACTGCGGTTTGTTTCCATTTGTTCCACAGACAAACATGCTGTCCTGAAACTTCTCAATCACTGTGATGACATTTTCACATTGGCCCTACAAATACAGAGGTGATTATTAACAAGACAGCACACAGAACTGATCATACATCTCATTTTTAAAATATGTTTTTTAGAAAACCTGTAATTTGACCTGTAATTTTTTTTTATTACAAACACCATCACTGTCGTCTTACTTACCTCTTGGCAGTGTTGCTGGTCTGGGGCTTTCAGCGAGAAATTCTGCAAGGGGACATCAATTAGTGGACAAATTAATTAAGGTTTCACTTAAGGATAGTTTTTTAATGAAATATTTTATTATAAAGACAACAATACCATATTGAAAAACATCACTTAATCACTTATTAACCAATGGAGAATGCTTCATTCAAAGCTCTGCCTAATAGATTGGCTTTTAAATGTAAGAGATAGCTGGATAATATATGGCTTTCTTGGGCCAAAACTATTTCACTTAGGTTAATGTCTTCTTCTTAAGCAGCTTCAGCCGCTCCTCCCACAGACCAGTAGCCATTAGTTTAATTAAGATGTGTCTGAGTTACGGTCACAGAGGCCATTTACTCTAATTTCTTCAAAAACAATTAACAATCATTAGCCTGTAATTTATTATTTTTGTGGTCTAATAAAACAGAAGTTCTCTGACTTTCCTGTGTTTTTTATTATAAAAACGTGTATGTCATCAGGGTCGGATTGTGACATTAGTTAACATGATGATGCTGCTAAAATGCATGCTCCCTAGACTCCTCTTGAAACCATGTGTCTGTCAGCCATCTGCTGCAAATCTTATTATGACCCCATCTGCATCACAAAACAACTGCCAACTTCTTGAACCACAAATAAATCAAGCTGGGAGTCCATCAATAAACCATTGATAAAGAATATAGGCCTACAGGCAAGTGCATGTGAATAAACTAAATACAAAGATCAGAAACACCCACCTCCATAATATGAGAGCCCCCCACATCCAGTTTCAGCACAAAATCCGTCCCTCCTACATACATCTCCTCTGAGTCCTCATGATAGAAGAACACACTGTGCTTCTGATAGACTGGGTATTCAAATCCACCGCAGATTATACCTAAAGGGAAAATAACATCACGCTGTTATTATCATTTGACTGCATCGTTCACTGAATAAAGTTTTGGATCATTGTGGACAATAAAATTGGGTAATCTAAATGAACTATCTTTGCGGCTTTAAAAAGGATCTCAATACAGAATTACCTCTTTAGTTGACGTTTCAAAACATCTGATTAGAGACCATTTTTAAAGGGAAAAAACATTTAAAACATTTCAGTCATAACGGCGAAGAGAAGCGTATACCTTTGCTCAGAAGTCTGGGATTGTCTTTAGATCCAAGAGTCGGTAAATTCAAAACGAGTTTAAAATCCCCAGCAAGCCAGATGAAGAATATAACAAACTGAATCATGTTGGGCCTGAGACGGTCAACATTTCTCTTCTTTCGGCAGGGCTCAACTGTTCTGAATCCCTCTGCTCGCACACTGACCAAGACAGGTACCCTGCGCACCCCCAGCAGCCAATCGAAACGCAGAGCAGTGGGCGGAGCATACATACAGTCGGCGTCGCGTCACAGTTTGGGGCGGGGCATTTCGAGGGGGGAAACAATCCTTTCCCCCTCTATGGAAGCAAACAAGAGACAGAAGTATTTGAATTTTATTAGACACCGAATTTATAGCATTGAAAATAATTACTTTGAAAATCATGAATCTGAATTTTTTTTGCTCCGAATTTATCTATGTGAAATAAAAATGTAAAAATTCAAGTTAAAAAAATTCGAATGTTCAAATTCAGATCCCAAAAATTCAAGTGAAAAAAATTCGATGTCAAATATTTCGGTGTTTAAAATTCGATGTAAAAAAATTCGGTGTGTAAAATTCGACGTCAAAAATTGCGATGGAGCCTCATCCGGGCTACTCAGACAGGATAAGCAATCGAGCCCTAATGCAATCAAACCGACTTCTGGCCTATCAGAGCCAAGCGGCAAACCCCGGGACAGTGCGGTGAAGCCCAATGCTGCAAACTGTAGGCGATGGATGCAGATGGGAGCAATTCCCGTAGACCCTTTGTTAAAATGTCCAACTTAACATCAGAAAATGAACATGTTTCTAGCCTGGATCTACAAAAACATATTCTGTATATAGTTAGATTCCCCCTTCATGACAACGGGGCTGCTGCTCCTAGCTCCTCTGTCTCACGGTTAGTGATGCTACAGCGGCTCAGCTCATGAGGAGAACACTACTTGAACTCGGCCGTGTTTGTTGTGTTGGCTCCTGGTGGACTATTCGTCATGCAAATATAGGATTTATCTGCCGTTGAAACAGACCGTCCATGAATGCAGTTTCTTCGGTAAGTCAACCCTGCGTACTTTATGTTATGTTACTGGTGTTTTTATTAAGCTAACGTTAATGAATGTTTAGAGTTGGGGTAGCATTTGAGCAATCGTAGCTCCATCTGTGCTAACGATGCTATGCGTAGCATCCAAGAGTGTAAAACATTAAGTGGGATGCTACTGTATACCAAAAGGCTTCTGTGCGAGGTTGCTAAAATAAGGTCATCTTTGTACGTTAGATAGTTAGTTTGCTATTTAGGTTACTGTATGCATTGTTAAGGTTCATTTAAATTCGCTATGCTCTACTATAGCATAAAATAGACTAGCTAACGTCAATGTATTGTTGAAGAGAGGCTTAGTGTATATTAAATCAACCTCACAATGAAATATGTGTATCTTTAAAATATGAACGTCACATTTCAAGATAATAACGCTCCCTTAGATATTGTAATATGGTTTGTTGAACTGGAGTTATTTATTGCAGCTAACCGCCTATCCGACGAACGACCCAAACATTGTTGTTTTTAATATTATTACCAATGCCTCTTTTAATTGTATTATCATCACACTTGAGAAACAGCCTTATCGTGGCTGTAGAACGGAACATGTAACTTAATTCCTGCATTTAAGGACGATGAATAGCGTAGTAGTCAATGCTTTAGTGACAAGGAAATGATTTGTTTAAATATTAGATATGACGTTATCTGTGACTTCAGTGGAAATTAAGCTTATCCATTGCATTGCATTTGTTCAATAGGTTTGTGTCTTACCCTTACGTGTGTGATACATATGAATATGGCATTTGAAAACAAATTAATTTGACTGACTCATGAAAACCTCATCCAAAGTAACAGTAAAATAAAAAGGACCTACACAATAATACTCAATCAAACTGATGCAGTATAAGGACTGTGATATCCAGCCATTTCTTAAGTATAACAATAAGATTATGACCTGTTTTTAAAAGAAGATAAAAAGTAGTTTGCATGGAAAGAAGTCTGTAACCCACGCATGTAACTTTACATCTGTTTGTTCAAAGTGTCCTTAAGGTGATCCAGACAGGCTGGACCAGAGGAGGAGAGACAGACCTGGACCAGAGGAGGAGAGACAGATCTGGACCAGAGGAGGAGAGACAGACCTGGACCAGAGGAGGAGAGACAGACCTGGACCAGAGGAGGAGAGACAGATCTGGACCAGAGGAGGAGAGACAGACCTGGACCAGAGGAGGAGAGACAGACCTGGACCAGAGGAGGAGAGACAGACCTGGACCAGAGGAGGAGAGACAGACCTGGACCAGAGGAGGAGAGACAGATCTGGACCAGAGGAGGAGAGACAGATCTGGACTCCTAACAGCAGAGAACTTCAGCACGGATTCCAAGGTACACCTTTTTCATGCTTTACAAAGAATGCATAAAGTAATGACTAATACACTGATAGACATGCCATTAAACATGACTGAATACTAGATCACCTACACATCAGTGATGTTGAGTGTACTTTCTTAGCAAAAGGTTACATTTTACCAAGCAACATCACATAGTGAGAGGTGCGACCCTTTGTCTTTCAGTGAGACAACCGGACAGAGCAAGCTTCAACAGTTGCACTAAGTTTTGATAACAGTTAAATATTATTTTAATAATACATTTATTTCAATGTTGATGAATTTAGAACGGTTTATTCATAATCTGATTATCTTTGTAGTACACTGTTGGATTTAAAAAACACATTCAAATAAAAAATCATTATATTTATGAACAAACAAACACACCTCTTTCTTAAATAACACACTTGCTCAGCAATAATATGTTTTTTGATATTTCTGTTAGGAAAGGACACGCCTGAGAGACAGGACTGCTTCACCATGTTCTCTTTCTCTGAGGGTCCAGAAGAACATCCAAGAGGGAAAGGAAAAGCTGATGTGATGAGATTTAAGAGCAGTACAGGACATTCACTAAGAGACACTTGTATTGTAACACAAAGACCTGCACACTGACTAGTTTTGTAGTCTAACAGGAACTTCATTTGTGTTGTTTTGTGTTTTACGTTGCACAGAGACAGTGTGATTGTCAGGCCTATAAAGTTTGGCAAAAAAAAAGTCAGCTGATCAAATGCATTTGCACTTTGAGCTTCACATCACCTGTGCCTTGTGCCGCCGAGTTTGGAACGTCATAAATAAATGGTACCAATCTTCAGTCAGATGTGAATGTGTAATTTAACATTTTAAGCAAGAATAACGGACAAAAGGAGTGCAAATACAATTTATTGAAATGTGAACTAAAAGTTATCAAGCATGAACCATCACCATTTAAAAAAAATAAATAAAAACGAAATAATATACATAAGTTACACTAAATGTTAATCTGTTAATTGACAGGCTAGGCCTGTGCAGGTGGTAACAGCTATGCCCAGCATGGGCTAAGTTCTGTAGGTGCAGCTGGTGTAAGTCCTCCTCCATCAGGCCTGCAGGGTCTTTCCCTGCGAGGAGGGAAAGACCCTCAGCCCTCTCCGGCCAAAGCAACAGACAGGACGTTCATAAAGCTGAGGTCTCCCCCAAAGTCTCTAATCATCCATCCTGTGAATATGAGAGGGGAACAAATAGTGTAATAGATGCTTTGGACAATAAGAAATATAAAGTTAACTGTTGAGTTGCTCAGTTTTTTAGATTGACAGGGTTTAATAACACAAACAAAAGGAGAGAAATAAAGATTGGTCTTTCAATACATTGTGTTGATTTTGTCTTTTGAATTGTTTGTCTGAAGTCAAGTAGCTAGAACTGTTACTTATAGTTTGAATGATACAGTCTGGTTATAATGTGTGGAGGAGGCATCACAGGTAAGAGCACCATGTGTTGTGTTACATCCACAACACATTGATGTGTGTGTATTTATTTATCTACTATTTCTTGAATCATTGCTGTCAGTCCAAAACAAGAGATTTTGTTTTGGTAACATTTAAAAAAAAAAAACATTATCTCTTTTCCACTACACTATCTTGAATACTTTAGTTTTTACGTCACTACATTTATCTAACAGCTTTAACATTGTAAAGGTGTCACTTCGGACTCGGTAATTAGGACAGCATGTCCTACTCAGCCCTAGAATCTCTAGGGCTGTGGTCCTACTAGTTTGAGACTTTGAACAAACCAGACCTTCATCTATTAATGTAGAAAATAGTCGGCACATTACACCATTATGAAAGTAATCATTAGTTAGCTCATTGTTCAAAATGAGCTCCAACTACAACAGTTAAGTCAACTCGTGCATCGGTAATAACAATAAATCAAATGATATAATATAATAGAATAACTTGTGTCTACTTTAAATACTCTAACAACACTTGTTGCTAATTATACTAGCATACTTTTACTAAAGTAACATTAACATGTTTAAATGCAGGGCTTTTGTAAGAGAGTATTTCGTATAGTGTAGCATGGTCTACTTGACTTATGTAACCGAAGTGATCGTTCGTCCCCCCACACACAAAAGGACACGGTAACGTTGTGATTCACTTCAATTAATGATAACTACGGAGCTTGCTAACAGCAAGGCACAAGGCTACTTCACTCATTTAGCTAATGTAAGATACAAATGCTGTCGAGCCCTCACTGCTTGTAAGATAAAGAGCACAAACTGACTACTTACCCGAGCGGCGAGCCCCGCTGTTCTCCGTCATTTTTCTCCCGGGTTGTTGTGATCACATGACTGACAAAGCCGTGCTCTGATAGGCCAAGTCAGTTTGATTGCATTAGGGCTCGATTGCTTATCCTGTCTGAGTAGCCCGGATGATGCTGCAACGCAATTTTTGACATCGAATTTTATACACCGAATTTTTTGACATCGAATTTTTTGACGTCGAATTTTTGGGATCTGAATTTGAACATTCGAATTTTTTTCACTTGAATTTTTACATTTTTATTTCACATAGGTAAATTCGGAGCAAAAACATTCAGATACATGATTTTCAAAGTAATTATTTTCAATGCTATAAATTCGGTGTCTAATACAATTCGAATACTTCTGTCTCTTGTTTGCTTCCATAGAATTTGAACATTCGAATTTTTTTAACTTGAATTTTTACAT